CCATCACCCCGCCCCATTCTCCCGCTTTCCATCACCCCGCCCCATTCTCCCGCTTTCCATAACCCCGCCCCATTCTCCCGCTTTCCATCACCCCGCCCCATTCCCCCTCCTTCCATCACCCCGCCCCATTCTCCCGCCTTCCATCACCCCGCCCCATTCTCCCGCTTTCCATCACCCCGCCCCATTCTCTCGCTTTCCATCACCCGCCCCATTCTCCCTTTTTCCATCACCCCTCCCCATTCTCCCTCCTTCCATCACCCCGCCCCATTCTCCCTCCTTCCATCACCCCGACCCATTCTCCCTCCTTCCATCACCCCGCCCCATTCTCCCGCTTTCCATCACCCCGCCCCATTCTCCCGCTTTCCATCACCCCACCCCATTCTCCATCTTTTCATCACCCCGCCCCGTTCTCCCGCTTTCCATCACCCCGCACCATTCTCCCGCTTTCCATCACCCCGCACCATTCTCCCGCTTTCCATCACCCCGCCCCATTCCCCCTCCTTCCATCACCCCGCCCCATTCTCCCGCCTTCCATCACCCCGCCCCATTGTCCCGCTTTCCATCACCCCACCCCATTCTCCCGCTTTCCATCACCCGCCCCATTCTCCCTTTTTCCATCACCCCTCCCCATTCTCCCTCCTTCCATCACCCCGCCCCATTCTCCCTCCTTCCATCACCCCGACCCATTCTCCCTCCTTCCATCACCCCGCCCCATTCTCCCGCTTTCCATCACCCCGCCCCATTCTGCCGCTCTCCATCACCCCGCCCCATTCTCCCGCTCTCCATCTTTTTGCCCCATTCTCCCGCTTTCCATCATCCCGCCCCATTCTCCCGCTTTCCATCATCCCGCCCCATTCTCCCTCCTTCCATCACGTCGCCCCATTCTCCCGCTTTCCATCACCCCGCCTCATTCTCCCGCTTTCCATCACCCCGCCCCGTTCTCCCGCTTTCCATCACCCTGCCCCATTCTCCCGATTTCCATCACCCCGCCCATTCTCCCGCTTTCTATCACCCCGCCCCATTCTCCCGCTTTCCATCACCCCGCACCATTCTGCCACTCTCCATCACCCCGCCCCATTGTCTCGCTCTCCATCACCTTGCCCCATTCTCCCGCTTTCCATCATCCCGCCCCATTCTCCCGCTTTCCATCATCCCGCCCCATTCTCCCTCCTTCCATCACGTTGCCCCATTCTCCCGCTTTCCATCACCCCGCCTCATTCTCCCGCTTTCCAATAACCCTGCCCCATTCTCCCGCTTTCCATCACCCCGCCCCATTCTCCCGCTTTCCATCACCCCGCCCCATTCTCCCGCTTTCGATAACCCCGCCCCATTCTCCCGCTTTCCATCACCCCGCCCCATTCCCCCTCCTTCCATCACCCCGCCCCATTCTCCCGCCTTCCATCACCCCGCTCCATTCTCCCGCTTTCCATCACCCCGCCCCATTCTTTCGCTTTCCATCACCCGCCCCATTCTCCGTTTTTCCATCACCCCTCCCCATTCTCCCTCCTTCCATCACCCCGCCCCATTCTCCCTCCTCCATCACCCCGACCCATTCTCCCTCCTTCCATCACCCCGCCCCATTCTCCCGCTTTCTATCGCCCCACCCCATTCTCCCACTTTGCATCACCCCGCCCCATTCTCCCGCTTTCCATCACCCCGCCCCATTCTCCCGCTTTCCATCATCCCGCCCCATTCTCCCGCTTTCCATCACCCCGCCCTATTCTCCCTCCTTCCATCACCCCGCCCCATTCTCCCTCCTTCCATCACCCCGCCCCATACTCCCGCTTTCCATCACCCCGCCTCATTCTCCCGCTTTCCATCACCCCGCCCCATTCTCCCGCTTTCCATCAACCCGCCCCATTCTCCCTCCTTCCATCACCCCGCCCCATTCTCCCGCTTTCCATCACCTCGCCCCATTCTCCCGCTTTCCATCACCCCGCCCCATTCTCCCGCTTTCCATCACCACACCCCATTCTCCATCTTTTCATCACCCCGCCCCATTCTCCCGCTTTCCATCACCCCGCACCATTCTCCCGCTTTCCATCACCCCGCCCCATTCTCCCTCCTTCCATCACCCCGCCCCATTCCCCCTTCTTCCATCACCCCGCCCCATTCTCCCGCTTTCCATCACCCCGCCCCATTCTCCCGCTTTCCATCACCCTGCCCCATTCTTCCGCTTTCCATCACCCCGCCCCATTCTCCCGCTTTCCATCACCCCGCCCCATTCTCCCGCTTTCCATCACCCCGCCCCATTCTCCCGCTTTCCATCACCCTGCCCCATTCTCCCACTTTCCATCACCTCGCCCATTCTCCCGCTTTCCATCACCCCGCCCCATTCTCCCGCTTTCCATCACCCCGCCCCATTCTCCCTCCTTCCATCACCCCGCCCCATTCTCCCTCCTTCTATCACCCCGCCTCATTCTCCCGCTTTCCATCACCCCGCCCCATTCTCCCGCTTTCCATCACCCCGCACCATTCTCCCGCTTTCCATCACCCCGCACCATTCTCCCGCTTTCCATCACCCCGCCCCATTCCCCCTCCTTCCATCACCCCGCCCCATTCTCCCGCCTTCCATCACCCCGCCCCATTCTCCCGCTTTCCATCACCCCGCCCCATTCTCCCGCTATCCATCACCCCGCCCCATTCTCCCGCTTTCCATCACCCCGCCCCATTCTCCCGCTTTCCATCACCCCGCCCCATTCTCCCGCTTTCCATCACCCCGCCCATTCTCCCGCTTTCCATCACCCCGTCCCATTCTCCCGCTTTCCATCACCCCGCCCCATTCTGCCGCTCTCCATCACCCCGCCCCATTCTCCCGCTTTCCATCATTCCGCCCCATTCTCCCGCTTTCCATCATCCCGCCCTATTCTCCCTCCTTCCATCACGTCGCCCCATTCTCCCGCTTTCCATTACCCCGCCTCATTCTCCCGCTTTCCATCACCCCGCCCCATTCTCCCGCTTTCCTTCACCCCGCCCCATTCTCCTGCTTTCCATCACCCCGCCCCATTCTCCCGCTTTCCATCACCCCGCCCCATTCTCCCGCTTTCCATCACCCCGCCCCATTCTCTCGGTTTCCATCACCCGCCCCATTCTCCCGCTTTCCATCACCCCTCCCCATTCTCCCTCCTTCCATCACCCCGCCCCATTCTCCCTCCTTCCATCACCCCGACCCATTCTCCCTCCTTCCATCACCCCGCCCCATTCTCCCGCTTTCCATCGCCCCGCCTCATTCTCCCGCTTTCCATCACCCCGACCCATTCTCCCGCTTTCCATACCCCGCCCCATTCTCCCGCTTTCCATCACCCCGCCCCATTCTCCCGCTTTCCATCACCCCGCACCATTCTCCCGCTTTCCATCACCCCGCCCCATTCCCCCTCCTTCCATCACCCCGCCCCATTCTCCCGCCTTCCATCACCCCGCCCCATTCTCCCGCTTTCCATCACCCCGCCCCATTCGCCCGTTTTCCATCACCCCGCCCCGTTCTCCCGCTTTCCATCACCCCGCCCCATTCTCCCGCTTTCCATCACCCCGTCCCATTCTCCCGCTTTCCATCACCCCGCCCCATTCTCCCGCTTTCCATCACCCCGCCCCATTCTCCCGCTTTCCATCATCCCGCCCCATTCTCCCACTTTCCATCACCCCGCCCTATTCTCCCTCCTTCCATCACCCCGCCCCATTCTCCCTCCTTCCATCACCCCGCCCCATACTCCCGCTTTCCATCACCCCGCCTCATTCTCCCGCTTTCCATCAACCTGCCCCATTCTCCCGCTTTCCATCACCCCACCCCATTCTCCCGCTTTCCATCACCACGCCCCATTCTCCCGCTTTCCATCACCCTGCCCCATTCTCCCTCCTTCCATCACCCCGGCCCATTCTCCCGCTTTCCATTACCCCGCCCCATTCTCCCGCTTTCCATCACCCCGTCCCATTCTCCCGCTTTCCATCACCCCGCCCCATTCTCCCTCCTTCCATCACCCCGCCCCATTCTCCCTCCTTCCATCACCCCACCCCATTCTCCTGCTTTCCATCACCCCGCCCTATTCTTCCGCATTCCATCACCCAGCCCCATTCTCCCGCTTTCCATCATCCCGCCCCATTTTCCTGCTTTCCGTCACCCCGCCCCATTCTCCCGCTATCCATCACCCCGCCCCATTCCCCCGCTTTCCATCACCCTGCCCCATTCTCCCGCTTTCCATCACCCCGCCCCATTCTCCCGCTTTCCATCACCCCGCCCCATTCTCCCGCTTTCCATCACCCCGCCCCATTCTCCCGCTTTCCATCACCCCGCACCATTCTCCCGCTTTCCATCACCCCACCCCATTCCCCGTCCTTCCATCACCCCGCCCCATTCTCCCGCTTTCCATCACCCCGCCCAATTCTCCCGCTTTCCATCACCACGCCCCATTCTCCCGCTTTCCATCACCCCCCCCATTCTCCCGCTTTCCATCACCCCGCCCCATTCTCCCGCTTTCCATCACCCCGCCCCATTTTCCCTTCTTCCATCACCTCACCCCATTCTCCCTCCTTCTATCACCCCGCCCCATTCTCCTGTTTGACATCACCCCGCCCCATTCTTCCGCATTCCATCACCCAGCCCCATTCTCCCGCTTTCCATCACCCCGCCCCATTTTCCCGCTTTCCGTCACCCCGCCTTATTCTCCCGCTATCCATCACACCGCCCCATTCCCCCACTTTCCATCACCCCGCCCCATTCTCCCGCTTTCCATCAACCCGCCCCATTCTCCCGCTTTCCATCACCCCCGCCCCATTCTCCCGCTTTCCATCACCCCGCCCCATTCTCCCGCTTTCCATCACCCCTCCCCATTGTCCTGCTTTCCATCACCCCGCCCCATTCTCCCTCCTTCCATGACCCCGCCCCATTCTCCCTCCTTCCACTACCCCGCCCCATTCTCCCGCTTTCCCTCACCCCGCCCCATTCTCCCGCTGTCCATCACCCCGTCCCATTCTCCCGCTTTCCATCACCACGCCCCTTTCTCTAGCTTTCCATCACCCCGTCCCATTCTCCCTCTTTCCATCATCCCGCCCCATTCTCCCGCTTTCCATCACCCCGCCCAATTCTCCCGCTTTCCATCACCCCGTCCCATTCTCCCGCTTTCCATCACCCCGCCCCATTCTCCCGCTTTCCATCACCCCGCCCCATTCTCCCGCTTTCCATCACCCCGCCCCATTCTCCCGCTTTCCATCACCCCGTCCCATTCTCCCGCTTTCCATCACCCCTCCCCATTCTCCCTCCTTCCATCACCCCGCCCCATTCTCCTGCTTTCCATCACACCGCCCTATTCCCACGCTTTCCATCACCCCGCCCCATTCTCCTGCTTTCCATCACCCCGCCCAATTCTCCCTCCTTCCATCACCCCGCCCCATTCTCCCTCCTTCCATAACCCCGCCCCATTCTCCCGCTTTCCATCACCCCGCCCCATTCTCCCGCTTTCCATCACCCCGCCCCATTCTCCCGCTTTCCCTCATCCCGCCCCAGTCTCCCGCATTTCATAGCCCCGCCCTATTCTCCCGCTTTCCATCACCTCGCCCCCTTCTCCCGCTTTCCATCACCCTGGCCCAATCTCCCTCCTTCCATCACCCCACCCCATTCTCCCTCCTTGCATCACCCCGCCCCATTCTCCCGCTTTCCATCACCCAGCCCCATTCTCCCGCTTTCCATCACCCCGCCCCATTTTCCCGCTTTCCGTCACCCCGCCCCATTCTCCCGCTATCCATCACCCCGCCCCATTCCCCCACTTTCCATCACCCCGCCCCATTCTCCCGCTTTCCATCACCCCGCCCCATTCTCCCGCTTTCCATCACCCCCGCCCCATTCTCCCGCTTTCCATCACCCCGCCCCATTCTCCCGCTTTCCATCACCCCTCCCCATTCTCCTGCTTTCCATCACCCCGCCCCATTCTCCCTCCTTCCATGACCTCGCCCCATTCTCCCTCCTTCCACTACCCCGCCCCATTCTCCCGCTTTCCCTCACCCCGCCCCATTCTCCCGCTGTCCATCTGCCCGTCCCATTCTCCCGCTTTCCATCATCACGCCCCTTTCTCTAGCTTTCCATCACCCCGTCCCATTCTCCCTCTTTCCATCACCCCGCCCCATTCTCCCGCTTTCCATCACCCCGCCCAATTCTCCCGCTTTCCATCACCCCGTCCCATTCTCCCGCTTTCCATCACCCCGCCCCATTCTCCCGCTTTCCATCACCCCGCCCCATTCTCCCGCTTTCCATCACCCCGCCCCATTCTCCCGCTTTCCATCACCCCGTCCCATTCTCCCGCTTTCCATCACCCCTCCCCATTCTCCCTCCTTCCATCACCCCGCCCCATTCTCCTGCTTTCCATCACACCGCCCTATTCCCACGCTTTCCATCACCCCGCCCCATTCTCCTGCTTTCCATCACCCCGCCCAATTCTCCCTCCTTCCATCACCCCGCCCCATTCTCCCTCCTTCCATAACCCCGCCCCATTCTCCCGCTTTCCATCACCCCGCCCCATTCTCCCGCTTTCCATCACCCCGCCCCATTCTCCCGCTTTCCCTCATCCCGCCCCAGTCTCCCGCATTTCATAGCCCCGCCCTATTCTCCCGCTTTCCATCACCTCGCCCCCTTCTCCCGCTTTCCATCACCCTGGCCCAATCTCCCTCCTTCCATCACCCCACCCCATTCTCCCTCCTTGCATCACCCCGCCCCATTCTCCAGCTTTCCATCACCCCGCCCCATTCTCCCGCTTTCCATCACCCCGCCCCGTTCTCCCGCTTTCTGTTGAGTGATGCTACCATACGCATTCACGTCTGTCTGCCTCCCATCATGTGTTCGTCCGTTGCATGCGTGGTGTGAGCGTATGCAAGAATTTGTGTTTGGTGTGTTTTGGATTCTCTGAGTGTGTGTGAATGTTATTTGGATTGAGCAGATATCTGAAGTTACTCTTCTGCTCAAGAGCTTTCTGTGAACCAAGTATCGCTTCAATCGGAGCACGAACAAGAAAGTTACGAACGTTGGGAGTTCGTATGCATTGCGTGTTTGATTGTGGTGACTCTGGGAAATTGTGGGGTTGACTCAACATGGGGTACAGACTTGTGGGGGTTGGGGAATTCGTACCCATCACTGTAGATGCTGCCAAGTGGTTGGGAGAAACCAAACCAGGTTGGCAAGTGTGGCCAAGTTGGGTGAAGTGGATTTGGGAGGTTGGGAAAATGACAAGGGTGAAAGTTGGGTTGCCTATTGAGAGGGAAATTGTGTGGCATGGGGGTTTCCTTGGTTGGGGACTCCTTGTGACCTTCCCTCTCGTCCTCCTCTTCCCTCCTACCTGGTTTAGTGCCACTCTAACTCTCTTGTGTAGAACTTGTGAGAATTGTGAGAACTCTTGTGATTGAGTAAATTCTCTATGGCAGCATACCCCTCTGTGCGCCAAAATTCATAAGTCGAGAAACACTTCACCTTTGGATACGATTCAAATTGGAAAATGTAGCTACGGTCTAGGGCTACTACATATTGGAGTTTCGTGCGTTGTTTGTCGACGGCGTTTCTTGTGAACTCGACGATTCTGTCCAGAAATTGAGACCAACGATTTTGAGAAAGTTAGACACATAATCTTCATAGACTCCGTCCTTAGTCTGTAACAAGTGGTGTCAGAGCTGATTAAGGACTTTGTGGAGAGTCTACTGAAGTGTGAAAACCCTCCCAGACCCACCATGGCCTGTGGGCGTGCCTAAGTGGAGTTGTGGAGGTTGCATGTGACTTCCACTAAGGGGAAACTCTGCCGAAATTTCGTTGGCGCCGTCACTTGTGAAAATATTATGGATCTACATTGTGACCAGCAAAGGGGGGAGCTGAAACCTGTGATAGGGAGCTAAGGAGATGAGTCAAGGGAGTGGAGAAGCAGCTGAGAAGAAGAGTGAGCCGCCACCATCCAAGATTGAGGCATTGGATGGCTCCAACTATGAAGAATGGAGTGGGTGGATGAGGAGCGCCTTCAAGCGCTACAAGCTGCTGAAATTGGCTATGGGAGAGGAGAAGATGCCCGAGGAAGGAGATGCCCGCGATCGGTGGATTGAGCGAAGCGCGGTGCTGTACGACCTCATCCTTCAATCGGTGAACAACGACATGTTTCAGCACATCAAGGATTTGGTGGAGCTCGATGACTCCGGACCAAAGGCGTGGAAGCTACTGCGCGACGTGGTTCAGCCCAACACGCTGCCGATGGTGATCGTGTTGGAGAAGGAGCTGGCTGCCCTCTCCATGCGGCCGGGAGACGATGTGAAACCGGTGCTTGACAAGATCAAGGACACCTATGGGAGGATGGCAGCGGCGGGCAGCAAGGTGTCGGAGATGCAGCAGTGCACCAAGATCATCTCGGTGCTCGACAACTCGTGGGACAACCTTATCCCCACCCTCAACGTTCAGCAGGACAAGTGGACACCTGAGTGGCTACGGCAGCAGATCTTGCAGGAGGACTTCCGCAGGCGTCACACGGGAGGTGGTGCTGCCAACAAAACTGCTGAGGGGTGTGGAGCTGCAGCAGGCAGAGGAAGAGGGGGTGGGAGAGGCCGAGTCCGTGGGAGAGGCTTTGGCAGAGGAAGAGGTCGAGGTGACTACAACGAGGGGCATGGGAGCTCTGGTGGCAGGGGGAGCACCCGAATGGAGGGTGCATGCTGGTACTGCAAGAAGGCTGGACACCCATGGTTCAAGTGTTTCAGCCGGCCTGAAGGATGGGCGCCTCCAGGCATGAAGCCGCCAAGTGGTGAACGCGCACGAGGTGGCGCTGTGCAAGGTTCAGGTGCAACCATTGGTTGAGAATTCACGACGATTCGTCGTCTCGAAGTTGACTACCCGCTCTGATACCACTTGTTGTTCAGGATCCATCACTTTGAGAACTTACGACGAACTTATTACTCTGGATTTGAAAGCTCTGGATTTCTCCTGCATGATCAAGCATTTAGACTTGGAGAGTAACACAGAGATGACAATATCCAACAGCCATGCATAATGACATATGCTCATGCAAATCATGCAAGCACAAATAGCACGAGCACTCGGCAGGACGTTAGGATGACATGCACTCAGAATGACGTGCATCCAACACTAGGCCCTTGTTCTCGCAACTTTGCACACGCTAGGCACTTGTTCTTCCAATTTTGCACACGCTAGGCCATTGTTCTTGAACTTTTGCACATGCTAGGCCCTTGTTCTTGCAATTTTGCAAATGCTAGGCCCTTGTTCTTTCAATTTTGCACACGCTATGCCCTTGTTCTTCCAATTTTGCACACGCTAGGCCCTTCTTCTTGCAATTTTGCACACGCTAGGCCCTTGTTCTTCCAATTTCGCACACGCTAGGCCCTTGTTCTTCCAATTTTGCACACGCTATGCCCTTGTTCTTCCAATTTTGCACATGCTAGGCCCTTGTTCTTGCAATTTTGCACACGCTAGGCCCCTGTTCTTGCTACTTTGCACACGCTAGGCCCTTGTTCTTCCGATGTTGCACACGCTAGGCCCTTGTTCTTGCGATTTTGCACACGCTAGGCCCTTGTTCTTCCAATTTCGCACAAGCTAGGCCCTTGTTCTTGCAATTTTGCACACGCTATGCTCTTGTTCTTCCAATTTTGCACCCGCTAGGCCCTTGTTCTTGCAATTTTGCATACGCCAGGCCCCTGTTCTTGCTACTTTGCACACGCTAGGCCTATGTTCTTCCGATTTTTCACACGCTAGGCCCTTGTTCTTGCAGTTTTGCACACGATAGGCCCTTGTTCTTCCAATTTTGCACATGCTAGGCCCTTGTTCTTGCAATTTTGCACACGCTAGGCCCTTGTTCTTCCAATTTTGCACACACTAGGCCCTTGTTCTTCCAATTTTGCACACGCTAGGCCCTTGTTCTTCCAATTTTGCATACGCTAGGCCCTTGTTCTTGCTACTTTGCACACGCTAGGCCCTTGTTCTTCCAATTTCGCACACGCTAGGCCCTTGTTGTTGCAATTTTGAACACACTAGGCCCTTGTTCTTCCAATTTAACACACATTAGGCCCTTGCTCTTCCAATTTAGCACACGCTAGGCCCATGTTCTTGAAATTTTGCACACGCTAGGCCCGTGTTCTTGCTCCTTTGCACACGCTAGGCCCCTGTTCTTCAAGTTTTGCACACGCTAGGCCCCTGTTCTTGCTACTTTGCACACTGTAGGCCCTTGTTCTTCCAATTTTTCTCACGTTAGGCCCTTGTTCTTCCAACTAACACACATTAGGCCCTTGTTCTTCCAATTTTGCACACGCTAGGCCCTTGTTCTTGAAATTTTGCATACGCTAGGCCCCTGTTCTTGCTACTTTGCAGAAGCTAGGCCCTTAATCTTCTAATTTTGCACACGCTAGTCACCTGTTCTTGCTACTTTGCACACGCTAGGCCCTTGTTGTTCCAATTTTGCACACGCTAGGCCCTTGTTCTTGCAACCTTGCACACGATAGGCCCTTGTTCTTCCAATTTTGCACATGCTAGGCCCTTGTTCTTGCAATTTTGCACACGCTAGGCCTATGTTCTTCCAATTTTTCACACGCTAGGCTCTTGTTCTTGCAGTTTTGCACATGATAGGCCTTTGTTCTTCCAATTCTGCACATGCTAGGCCCTTGTTCTTGCAATTTTGCACACGCTAGGCCCTTGTTCTTGAAATTTTGCATACGCTAGGCCCCTGTTCTTGCTACTTTGCAGAAGCTAGGCCCTTAATATTCTAATTTTGCACACGCTAGTCCCCTTTTCTTGCTACTTTGCACACGCTAGGCCCTTGTTCTTCCAATTTTGCACACATTAGGCCCTTGTTCCTCCAATTTTGCACACGCTAGGCCCTTGTTCTTGACATTCTGCGCATGCTAGGCACTTGTTCTTGCAATTTTGCACATGCTAGGCCCTTGTTCTTGCAAATTTGCACACGCTATGCCCTTGTTCTTCCAATTTTGCACACGCTAGGCCCTTGTTCTTGCGATTTTGCACACGATAGGCCCTTGTTCTTCCAATTTTGCACACGCTAGGCCCTTGTTCTTGCAATTTTGCATACGCTAGGCCCCAGTTCTTGCTACTTTGCACACGCTAGGCCCTTGTTCTTCCGATTTTGCACACGCCAGGCCCTTGTTCTTGCAATTTTGCACACGCTAGGCCCTTGTTCTTCCAATTTTGCGCACGCTAGGCCCTTGTTCTTCCAATTTCGCACACGCTAAGCCCTTGTTCTTGAAATTTTGCACATGCTAGGCCCGTGTTCTTGCAATTTTGCACATGCTAGGCCCTTGTTCTTGCAATTTTGCACACGCTATGCCCTTGTTCTTGCAATTTTGCACACGCTAGGCCCCTATTCTTGCTACTTTGCACACGCTAGGCCCTTGTTCTTCCGATTTTGTACACGCTAGGCCCTTGTTCTTGCAATTTTGCACACACTAGGCCCTTGTTCTTCCAATTTTGCACACGCTAGGCCCTTGTTCTTGAAATTCTGCACATGCTAGGCACTTGTTCTTACAATTTTGCACATGCTAGGCCCTTGTTCTTGCAATTTTGCACATGCTAGGCCCTTGTTCTTGCAATTTTGCACACGCTATGCCCT